GGATGGTTCATCTTCTTCAAATAGGGGAATTTCTGCTAAATCTGATTCCCCAAGGATGGATTTAAATGAGTTGTAGATAGGCTCGATTCGAGGTTCAAAGAGGATGTCTGAATGTCTTTCGAAGTCCAGTAACCGAATTTGTGGTCTTATTGGGATCATGCATAGAGCCTTAGTAACTAGACGTTATCAATATAGTATTAGGGGTAGGTAACTCTAAGGTCAAGCAAGTATATAGTAGACCCAATAATCTTCTCTCCTGGAGATTGTTAATAATGCTCATAAAGATAGAAGTAAAGTAGGACAAATATATTAATAAGATCTCTTCTCTAATCACTGATGATAGAGTTAAAGCTAGGGTTTTTTTTTCTTTTTTTTTTTGTTTCACTCATTTATTTTTTGTTAAGGTACAGGAACTTGCCTGGAGCACTAGCTATGGCAAAAACAAAACCTTAATGTCAAAAACAACAAATAGTAATGAAATACTATCTGCGATCATCTCCGCCTATGAGTAATTCAACCCACTGCACCTACCATAAAAACCAGTCACAAAAAGGAAGACAAATCTCTACCTACTTGAAAGAAACACAAAGCACGGAATGTAAAAGTCAGGACAGGCAACAGAAAGAAACACATCTGCAGTCTGCAGTATGGTAGGTGATAACACCCTGAAGGTCTTGGAAACTACTGTGAGACAGGTGACGAACACAAACTTACTGCAATAAAATACAACCGCTATGTAGTAGCGAATGGCTTGCCTGGTTCCTTGGAGAAATTGTTATCCACAGAGCAATATTAAGTTAACCCTCAAATACTCCCCTGTGCTGCAATGTTCGCTGCCACCCTAGACTTCATAAGTACTCTCGGCAGTTGGATGACAAAAATATTTCCAAACTATCAAAAATTCCTATACATACTACTCAGCGGTAATAACATTTCCTCCTCCCCCACCAGAACCAGATATAGAAAGCATACAAGAATGAGTATGAATATTAAATATAGGTAGCAGAATACATGTATATAAAGAAAATAAAAAAATAGAAATTAATACTTTGTATACCACCCAGTTGCAGCAATGACAGCACAAACCCAAGAGGGCATGCTTCTCCACAGACTTTCAAGATAGGTTGACTCTAGCGTATCCCATACAAGTGGAAGAACCTCAGCGAGATGTCTCCAAACTGCCTCTGGTCCTTCTTTTGTATCCCCAATGTCTGGATATATTGTTTGCATTTGTTCCTTCAGGCAATGCCAAAGATGTTCAATCAGGTTCAAATCAGATAAACATACTGGCCATTCTATTACATCTACTCCTTGCTCCTCCTCCCATTCCTTTACCACCTCATTCTTGTATACTCAAGAGTTATCTTCCATGAAGATAGGCTGTGTGCCGGTCATTTCTTGAATGCATTCAAGTACTAGTGGTAAAAGGTTATGTAAAAGATCATGGTAGACAAATCGGTCCACAGACCGGACAATTAAAGAAACAAAAGTATCACGGTATAGACCCCAAAAACACCCCAAACCATCAATTTTACTCCTGGCCCCTTTTCATAGGTTTGAATGTATTCCTTGTCCCACTTTTCATATGGGGTATGGAAAACCCATACATTTCGTGGATCCTTGCTCTTTTCTACACTACATTCATCTCTCCATATCACCCGCTTCCAATCCTCCTCAGTCCAATCTGCATAGTATGAGGCTCAGCGTAAGCATGCAGCAGCCTGGTCCTCAGTCAATTTTGGCCTCTTCTTTGCACGCCATTTTTTAATCCCTGCTTTTGCCAAAACCCACTTGACTGTTTGTTTACTGACATGTGGTATCACCGTTTGCATTAACTCGCGAAGGGCTGGCATCTATGTGCTTTCGCTACTCTCAGGAGCCTTTGCTGATTGCGCTGGCTTACTTTTGGGGGACGTCCAGGTGTTGGGTGATCATGGTGGTCATTTATTTGCTGCCACTACTGAATGAACTTTCGTACAAACAAGTCCTTTCTTGAATATGTCAAGAGTGGCAAGATTTTTGCCACACTTTGGTAGACATTCCAGAGTCCAATAATTTCTCCTTTCTCAATATCTGACAGGCACCCAATCCCTGGAGTCTTCTCTTTTGTTTTGGGTAGCATTGTGGCAATTGAAGTTGTGGGTTGACGTTGTGGGGTTGCCACCTACGATGAGTTTTCGGAAATATTTTTGTCCTAGTACTGTACACCTACCTCAATGCAACCGCACATAGGGGAATTGAGAAACCGCCTTCGCATAAAATTTAAAAAACCGTTAGATTTATCCCTTCGAGCGGCGCAATAGTGGAAACTCTTGTGAAGGCCCTACGAGTGCTGCACTGTGCCGGTGCGAGCTAGGGCCATTTGAGAGGGCATGGTAGTTTGGCTGTCGAGGGAGGAGTTTTTTGCTGACCGTAAGCCGCACATGGGTAGATGGCTTGGCGAGCAGAAGTTTCTGCCTAGAAAGGCGCTTTCATGTTTCCTTAGTTGGACAAGAACAACCACACCTGCCTCTCCACAGTTAGTTTGATCACCACCTCACCTCGATTCGGTTTAGTCTTCTCCTCAACCTGAACCTTCCACATCGACCCCAATACAAGTACACCAGTCCTATTCAAGATCAATTCTATCCCCACAATTCCTCGGCACAGTTCAACGGTAACAGTTGCATTTTACCTCACAGGCGTGCCTGGTCAACCCACCATCCAATTGGGCAGAAGAGATTGAAACTACTCACACCGGTATGCGGTGCCAAAGGCACATACTCGAGGAGAAATTGGTGGACGTGCAAGCTTCAGACGATGGCTAATGTTAACCACACCTGGCGCCACCCTCGCCAGCCCTACCGACGACCCAGTGCCCAAACGGGGAGGCGGTTGGACTAAGAAATTCCAGGACCACTTTATCACCTCCATTGATGGGAACAGGGCACCAGAAAATTATTCCGGGGCTCTTGTCAACTACAAGCCCAGGGATAAGGGAGGGAGGGTGTCGGTCTAGGGTTGCCGCAAACGACCAAGTCCTCGTTGGTGTCGGCCTTCCTGACGCTCGTACCTTGCAGGCGAGTGCCCCTCCGTCGGCGGTTGCGCGTGAGGGTAAGGTGGAATTTCTCATACTGTGGTTAACGGAGAGCCAGTTGAGGGTGCCCATGTAAGTTACATAGGCGGCGGCGGGGAGACAAGTACAAACGGGAATGTTAAAATAACGCTTAATATCATATACCCTAACCTAGATCCTGACGTCTACAAGTTCAGGGCTCCAAGGAATGGGGACATAAGATCTACGAAAGCTACAGTCACGTTACTACGGCGGGGGGCCACGCACCGGTGCATGTAGGGCTTGTATTGAGTGCTGATTAAAGGCATTGAGAAGGTAGGAGATGTGATGATTTACAGATGCGGAGGTTAGAGACCAGAATTCAATCTTGTCCACAGAAAAGCGGATACGAGAAACACTCGGGGGGCTCAGCAAATCCATCACGAACCATATTGTGAAGAGAACTTGCGACAACGGAATCCAATCACTTGTAGTAATCGCCCACCCAGCGTTAATAATGCGGTGGCTGTCACTCACCGAGACCCTCAATTACACCCCACCAGCATTTCAAGTATAATTTAGGCCATAATTACGATCCCGGGCCACGTATCAGACGGGACAGACAGTTGTGATGTAAACATTTCCCAGAATGCAGATCTACCCCAGCGGGATGTCTGAAGTAGGCAATAGCGCGGGAATTTTCGGCAGTGGGGAAAACGCGGGGCATAATAATGCACTAGCGGGGTAGATGCTTACAAACACGAATGCTCTTGCATATTGCTAAATATCAGCCCTTCAGCACGATCCCGGGCAGTATGCAATAGTAGCTGCCCTCAAAAACACCACCCCTGTGCGAGCATAGGTCAGTTTTCCGTAAGACGTTCGTGAGGGTGTTTGAAAAGGGTTTTGGGAGGTACCGTGCACTCGGCGGTGCCTGCAGGTGAACTATTTTATGGAAGAACCCCAACTTGCGGCTAGCTCCGTCACGCTTTGTAGAAGGATTCCGAGGCAGTATGATATGCTCGATTGAGTTGTTTCTGGGACTGTATAGAGCTAGGGGGTACTTATCTCGTCTAGTGCTAGGGTGTCTATTGAGCGGCGTTTTATCTCGGACCGCATGTGAAGTGAGGGCAATAACAGAACAACTGGAGTCTTTTCACAAGGAATTTATGAGCTTTACTCTCTGAGACCCATTGATAGCGTAATTTGCCGCCCGTCAATCCCAAACCGCTTCCCATATCATTCCAGGCCCTACCCAGACTGCAGTGTTATGCCCCGGACTACACAAATAACTACGCATCAAATGTTTCCTCAGAATTGAAAAAATGCGCTTTAATTCCCCGCTCGGGATATTAAGAGCCAAGAGTGGACGCAAGGAATTGCAAGGCAAGCCCCCAGGCATACAAAACACGAAAATAGGGCGGAAGCTCTATCACCCTACATGATACTGAGAGCCTGTGAATCCGACCACTATTGCATGACCCTAAGATCTACAGTAAAAAATATAAAAATAAAAAAGCGGGATTTCGGCGCCACGTAATACAGTATCATCCGCGCTCAGAAAAGTCGTTCGACTAAGAGTACGGCAGATCTTCATGTCGCCATTCACCCCACGTCTAGGCTCCCAGAGCGCACTATATCGCGGAATTACAGTCAATCGCTCTCCAACCAACGTCTCACGATAGTCTCGGGCCACCCAATGCCCATCCGAATTTCAGAACCGATTGCCTTCCTGAATCTCCGATGCAGTGAGTTCCCTTTTCAGCTTGACTGCAGTTATAATTTACAAGTTCCCATAACCTAACTATCAACCATTGGCAGAAAGGAAGAAAAAAAAAAGCCACAAAGCTGCTCACCATCCAGACTTGGTACCCGTTGGCTCACGCTTCTGCCCAGAGTCTTTTTCTTTTTCTTTTCTGTTCTCTAATGATTTCATATAATTTCAGCCAGTGACAGCGGCATTACAATGCAGCAAACACTGAGCACGGCTCAGTATGGTGCGGCTGGAGGAATACTTAAACCCCCCGAATGCCCTGGGCCCGGTGATAGGAGTTCACCACCGCTCTCCCATTACTTGTCCTCGCTAGTCACATCCATGCATTTCTCTGCGCGCATCATATCAACCGCCCTCCTAGTCCTAACCTCTCCCCTCCCGAACTCCCCAATCTGGGCAAATGCCGCCCGTTATATATCTGTTCCCCTCCGCATAGAGGGCCCCAGTACCACTATCTTCGAAGGCACTATCAAGACATCAGGGCACATAGTCACCACGGCCTCGGGCGGGACACATCAGTGCGACAGCGTGAGCAATGGCGAAGACCAGACCCCCAACGATGCCACGCCTGGTGGCACCATTACAACCGCGATCGACGACGCAGTGTCAACCTGGGACGGCACGTGGAGCAAGAAGTACCAAGACTACTTTATCACCTCCATTGCAGGATACGGACAGACTCAACATCAGTTCTGGGGACTGCTCATTGATTACGAAATTATCGGAAAAGGGGGATGTGAACATAAACTTGTCGATGGCCAGAATGTGCTCGTTGCCTTTGACGCGTTCGGCGCTAGCGCCTTCTTGACGGCGAGTGTAAACATAGGCTCTGTGCCAGTAGGGGGAGAGGTGATTGTGACAGTGGTTGGTGGATCTTCTGGGACCCCGGTTGAACATGCTGAGGTGCTTGGAGCGAGAACCGGTGGGGATGGGACGGCCAAAATAAAGTTTGATAGGATTGGTGAGCACAAGTTTAAGGCTACGAAGGATGGGACTATAAGGTCCAATCAGGTTAAGGTCACTGTTACACGGGCGAATGCCCCAAGGTGTGCCAACGAGTGATATGTGGTGCCTGTATTTAGTCTCAACAGGATTTATTAACGGGATGAGATATATAACGGTTTACAACACGTGAGGTTAGAGACTGGGATCCAATGTGACCCATAGGAGACATTCTGGGCTCTTTGGATCCACCAGGAGCAGACCGTGAACTAGACTTGCGGCAATAGAACACAATCGCTTTGTAGTACTAAACGGTGAGCCTTGTGTCGATAGCACCGTCCAGTAGTCCAGCAGTTTTGCAGCGAAGGCCTTGGCGGGACCAAGGGGGGTTTCCCCAGTACCGGTTCCGAGCCCATTCCTTGGTTTTCCCTCCAAGTTACCTTTCTCCGTATGAATTCAGAGCTATTCGCCACAGTCGGACCTAAACTTGTGGTGATTGTGTACCATGGAAGGAGCTATGTGGGCAACAAGGTCGAGGTCAATAGAGGATTATATTCTAAGTTGGGTTTTCTTTTCTTTTTCTTCTCCAATCACCCATAGTGAAGCTTCATTCAGTTATCATAGCGTGTTTCCGTTGATCCTCTCAGCCCCTTCAGGTCTTCAAAGTGGGGTCCACCAACCCGATCCCTAAGGCGGTCGATTTTTATCATCCATGCTTGAGCATGACACAGGCATCATAGCAATAGGACTGTACGAGTATAGTTATAGTGCGGTAACCTAAGCCTCAATTAAAGCATACCGTACACGCCGCCACAGTATTCCCAAAACGGGGGCTACGGTACAGTACAAGCAACTGCTCCAGTTACCCTACCGGTACTTCTGTGCTGGGGGTTGAGGACCGTAAATTTACCACCCGCACGGTGTCATAATATGATGGCAGGTCAAGCGAAGGGGGCAGGGGGTGCGATTGGGCCGTAGGCTAGTTCGGCCACTCGCAGGGCGTTATTGCGGGACAATCGTTGCACGAACATTGGCTCTGATACCGGTAAACCACGGCTCTGTACAAGTACGGTACGAGTACTGGATCCACGGCAAGGCCCCTGCCATGAGAGATGATATGTAAGCCTCTAAGGCAATGTCCCCGAGGGTTGTGAAGTGTGGGCGGCACCTTATTGTTCTTCGGAGAGTTTGATTCTCCGTGTCTGCAAAACACTTAAACCCCCTCTTCTTCTCTCCTTTCTCTGCATCTCCACATACAGAACAAGCTGCGCTGTGGAAAATATGTCGTCTCGCGATACGGCAGAAAAGTTCGGACTGTTGTCGGACGGGATTGGTTCGGAGGGCAAAGGTTATACCTCTTCCGCCGAGCCCCGTTCGCGAGGACTGTCCACGCGGAGCAAGACTTTCCTTACGACACTTGCCGTGCTATTTCTCTTGTTTGCCTGGCATGCCAAGCACGGTAAACCGATGTCTTGCGGCGAGAAGTCGGCGAAGGGGGATTATGGCTGGGGAGATGTTTGTCCCCCTCGCTGCTGCTGTGAGAGGTAGCGGATTAACGGGCGACCGCAGATCACCCCAACCGAGGACATCAACCTCTACCCCTGCTTCAACGGCTACAAGTGTGCTCGCCTGGCCGTCCCGCTAGACTACACCAACCCCTCTCCGGACCGTACCGCTGCGATCGCAGTTACAATCCTCGAAGCCACCGACACTAGCAGACCCTACGGCGGTCCCGTTCTCATCAACCCTGGCGGTCCTGGCGGCTCGGGGGTGAATTTAGTCCTAGTCTATGGCGAATTACTCCAACAGATCATCGGCAGCCATCACTCCATCGTAAGCTTCGATCCTCGCGGTGTGAATAATACCACTCCCACATTCACATGCTTCGAGGAGGCTCTGCAGAGGGAGGTTTTTCTTGAAAAGGATGACGGAAAGGTTCTCGCCGGCGGGAGCGAAGTTGCGGAAACCTACGCACGGTTTAAAGCTCTTTCCGAGAGTTGCGGAACGGTGGCTGGGGAGGAGAAGGGCGGGTATGTCAATACTGCCTCGGTGGCCAGGGACATGCTGGAGATCTCGGAGGGGCTTTGGGGGTTGAGTGGAGTGAGTGGGAGAGGCTTGCAGTATTGGGGCTTCAGTTATGGGAGTGTGCTTGGGAGTACCTTTGCTGCCATGTTTCCCGAGAAGGTTGAGAGGGTGGTTGTCGATGGTGATCACTTTCACCCTATCTATTTCACGGAGAATGAGCGCTGATCGGGATGAACAGGAATCTGCGATGCGGAAGACTACTACTCTGCGTCCTGGAAAACTAGCCTCCAAGACACGGACAAAGTTCTCGCTAGCTTCTCGACGTACTGCTCCCAGGCTGGCCCCTTGAGATGCGCATTCCACACTGGCTCGACACCCGAGGACGTCACCATCCGCCTACACAACCTGCTCCAAAAGCTCTCGGCAGAGCCACTCCCCATCCCTTCCTCCCGATCGACCACCAGCGCCCCGGAAATAATCACGGAATCAGACGTTCGCAACCTCCTCTTCGCCTCCCTCTACTCACCGCTAAGCTCGTTCCCGATCATGGCCCAGATCCTGGCCGCCCTTGAATCCGGCGATGGGACGGGGTACCTAACGGTCGCCCGCACGGGCTTCGAATGCGACTGTCCCGGAAACCCAAGAACGCCAAATACCGGCGGCGAGGTAGCTCTCGCGGTCGCATGTTCTGACGGCGCACCAGTGCCCGACGATAGAAGAGCGTTTGACGAGTACCTTCAAGAGTTGACCTCGCAGACGAGGACTTTCGGAGGTGTGTGGGCGAAGCTCAGGCTTGGCTGTATAAACTGGAGCTTCCGTCCCAAGGGCTTGACCTTCTCGGGACCTTACAGTGGGAACACCAGCACCCCGATGCTAATCATCGGGAATACCAGGGATCCGGTCACTCCACTCATAAAGTGCCCTCCCTTCCCCCTCTCTCCTTCTTTTCCCACCCTTCAGTGCTAATCGGTGTACCCCAGTGCGCATACCATGTCCAAAGGCTTCCCCGGCTCAGCCGTGCTCGAACAAAACTCGGAAGGTCACTGTTCGATATCCGCACCATCGCTATGCACAGCAAAGCACATCCGTAGGTATTTTGAAACGGGGGAGGTCCCCCCTACAGGCACGGTTTGCGAAGCAGATATGAAACCATTTATCGGCGCTGGGGACGTTGTCAAGACCATGAGCGCGGAGGACAAAGAATTATTGAAAGTGTTGGAGGAGCTGGCAATGGGGTTGAAGCTGAAACCTTTGTTTCGGCATTAGACGCGTGCTGGGTGAACTGTAAACAAGCATAGAGAGAATAAATGATACCCAACTCTTATCCGGACCGTAATACGCTAGTTCCCGCATTCCATGATTAAAGGGATTCGATCCCAATCAACCAAAAACCCCAGATTTTCCCCTTCCCCCCCGTTCCCCGCAAGCAGATCATCCCTGCAATGATATGCTACTTGTAAGCCAACAATGAAGCTCCCCCACCCAATTGTAAGCCACTGAAGGGGGACCACCTGCCACCGAGTGGGTTAGCTTGCCGTGTGGCAATCCGCGCGACACGTTACTCGAGTACGCCCGCATCAACCGTGACCAACCGACCAACCATCGCCAAGCCAACCAGCAAGCAATACGTACTCGTACTTGTACAGCGGGGCTCTTCTCTCGCTTTCAAAGCCCCAGTAGGGTAGCTACCTACAATACATTACCTCATCCCCCCAATAGCACCCCCAGCCAACCCCACCCTGACAACTCCACCCACTCGCCCCACCTCGTCCCCTTCACTCTACAATACAAAAACAGTGCAAAAGATAGATTGATAGTAAGGATAAGAAAACGATGCTATCCCGCACCGTCCGCGTTGCACACCCACGCTTCACCCGCTCGATCCGTGTCTGGGGGAAGCGTTGGGAGACCGAGGTTCGGGATGGGAAGAGGATGGAGAGGAAGAGTGAGTACGTGCCCGGTAGGGGGTGGGTTGTTGAGCGTGCCGAGGTCGGTTTTCCCCCCTTCATCTCTATTACCCATGCACTATTTGAGCTGGTTGGGTAAGGCTGGAGATAAGGTTTAACGAGCGCTGTGTAGGAGGAAGAGTACGATGGTGGTAGCGAGATCGACTTGATTACCTTGAAGCGAGTACCCAGGGTACGGGGCGGTTGGGATCCGGACGTCGATAGGAAGAAGCGTGATCACGAGGGGAAGACTGAGTTCTTGGGGGGCTTCCTGCAGGAGTCTTCTCCACCAGCGCCACCGCCTCAGGGTGCTAAGAGTGCTATCGCTCCACAGAAAACCTCTGACTTGCCCTCAGGGGTCGCGGCCGCCACGCCCACCTACCCAGATCCTGAGCAGGCCCCTCCTCCACTGCCTCCCCGGCCAACGCCACCCCCGCCACCACCGCCGCGTGACGGGCCCGGGTCGAGTTCGCTGGAATCGGATTCCGGCTCCGACTCCGACTCTGACATGGATATACACCTCCCCAGTGATGTTAAGTCTTCTGCCGGCCATCCACCGAAGAGCAAGTACGAGATTGAGCTTGAGAGGGAGCGGAGAATGAGGAGGGAGGCCATGATCCTGGAGTGGGAGAGGCTACGTGAGGAAGAGGAAAAGGAGGAGAGCGCCATGAAGGATATCAGGGCCTATAGGATAATGCGGGAACAGCAGGAGGCCCTGTCTAGAGAGGTTGAAAGGAAAGAGGTCGAGAAAAGAGAGGCTGAAGAGAAAGAGATGCAGAGGAGAGAAGAGGAAAGAAGAGAGGAACTCCGGCTAGAAGACCAGAGAGCTATCGAAACCGAGATGGAGAAGGAGCGTGAGAGGGCTCTCCAAGAAGCCAATGTGAAAGCCGAGAAGGAATCGCTAGCCCCCGCTAGAGAAAATAAGGAGGAGTGGGACTGGTCCGGCACGGATACCCCCACCGCCGAAGACATCTACAGGACTCCACAGTACCCTCCGACCCAAAAATACTTTGTCCTAACACGAAACCCATCCACCAACGACTTCAACTTTGCGCCCCTTCCCCTTGCCCTGTCCCCCATCTCTCTTGAACAGACCACGCCGATAAAAGTGCTCGAGAACATGCAGTCCCCCGAAAAGTTTATTTGTTACTGGGGTGTGGTTCAGAGGTTGGGCTTTGAGATTGTGGCGGGAGAAAGGGAGTGCGTCATTGTCCGCGCCTCCATCGAGGATGCAGATGAGAAAATGGAGGGCATGCTCCGGGAGATCGAAGGAATACAGGAGCTCCAGCCTAAGCCTGCCCTCGGAGATGCAGTGCCACCGAAGGGGTTAGATGCAATTGCAGCAGACATTGCAGGAAAAATCGGCCTTGGCGGGAAGCCATCGTCGGTGGTCGAGGAGCCACCAAAGGTATTCGAAGAGTTTTCGAGTCTTGTCGGCGAGACCAGCAAACCCGCCGAAAAAGAGCCCGAGCCTGTCGAGCAGGAGATAGCTAAACCGATTGAGGAAATTGTCAAATCACAAGAAGCGTCGCCCGAAGCCCCCGGGTCCACGGCCCCAGAGGAGGATTTCAAATTCGAACCGCTGGAGGCCGAACACTCGGATCAAATCGCTGGGGGGGCAAAGCACACCGAGGTGGTCAAAGGGGAAATCGAGCCGGGACAGGCGCACCGCGAAGCCGTCGTCACACCATCGATGAAAACGGCAGGCGAAGAGCCCGTAGAGATAGAAACAAACAACGCCTGGCAGGACAAGTACCGATTCGCCGAGAATCCAGAAAAGACCTTTCAGCAACCAGTTGAGGAGACACTATCCACCGAAGCTCCGAAGATTGTAAAAGGAGGACCGAAAGCGGAAGCAGCAGGAGAGTGGGAAACCACCGCCGCTGCCGATCCTTGGGCCTTCACTAAGGAGCAAACCCCCACAACACAATCCCCCCCGCCGGCAGAAACCGCCCCCCAACCCTTCCTCTCCCCGGCCTCGGAAGTTGCGCGAGAGAGCTGGGAGAAGAAGCGCGGGTCCCCTCCACCCCTAACCCCAGCCGAAGAACTCCTCGCGAAACCAGCGCCGGAAAAGCCCACCCATCCCGCTCCCGCCGCCGCTAAGGCAGTCAACTCGCAGCAGCAGCAGCAGCAGCAACAACAGGGAAAATCAAAACAAGGTAAAAAGCCAAAGAGAAAGATATTCTGGACAAGCGTTTGGGTGGCCGCGGCTACTGGCGGGACATCGCTCTTGCTCGAGAACTATTACTGAGCACTTTTTAGTTTCGTTTTGCGCACTTCGTTTTGCTTTTCTCCGCTCCCTTTTGCATGTTTCGAAGGTGGCGGTGTATTGTATTTCTGTTTTCTCGCTTCCTTGCTTGCATCTATTCTTTGGTTGGTTGGTTTGGTTCGGCTTGATGGATTACGTCCACTCCATTCCGGGTTGTGGTGGTGAGGGTCCTAGGAGAAGTAAAGTACATAGCTTAGGAATGGAATTGATTTGATTTGACTCATGAATTGTCACCCGTGTTGGGTTTTTCCGGGTTCTGAAGGGATCGGCTGCTATTGCTGTACTGACATCGTGATATAGTGTGAAGGGTGGAGCTGGCGGGCTTCCATTTGAAGCGTAGGCTAGTAGTGGATATATTTAAAGGGTAAAAGGGGCGGGTGAAGGGAGGATGATCTTGATTGGAAGCTCGGTTTGCGATGTTTTGCATGGAAAAGATAAAAATGCATGATCCCTGCGGCTCCGGCTACCGCGGTGCACTACGATGGCACTATGGCTACGCTACTGTATTCCCCTAGCGGTAGGTAGGCCAAAATAGAGCTTTATCACAGCAAATAGTTAAAGGGGAGCTGGCCGAGATTGGGGATGTAGTGGAATTGGTTGACTTAAGGATAGAGTTGCGAGTGGAGAAGGGGGGACATAGGAGGAGGAGGCGACCGGCGGGGTGGGGGGGAAGTGAAGGGGGGGTGGGACATGTTGGGTCGCCCCTGGCGGTGGAGGTCCGGCTGGCCGGTTTGGCTGATTGAGGTGAGGGTGGTGGTGAGTTGGAGGTGTGGTAGGAGGGAGGAAGGAGGTAGGGATAAGTTACACTCTAGGGCGAGAGGAAGTAATACCATGGCAGCGGGGTTAGCAGGGAGCCGGGTAGGGCGCTGCAAGCTATTATAGCTGCCAGCCGGATGTGCTCCACTACCTTACATGACGCTACCGTTAGAAACAACCCCCCACAACAAGCCCAGGTACACAGGTATATCGTGGCAGGTATGCTACTTTCGCGGCCTTCATGCTGCCGCCACCTTAACATCCAAGCTGCAAGCTGAAGGTCCAAAGGCGATCCTACCCACGCCCGGGAGTCGCTCGAATATCGAATCACACCTGGCAGGAGTAAGTAGGATAGACTAGAGAACGCGGAAAGAAGTTGTCGTTTGTCAAGAACGATAAAGGCTCTCGCCTAGCACCAAAGCGCCACTTGCGCCTCTGGCTCCTCACCGAGTACTAACCCAGTCCTCCTGCGCCCAAAGACAATAATGGGGAAAATGGAGGGGGATACGGTAGCTCAGTCTGATTGAACGAGGAGGGTCAGCAGCAGCAGGTAAGTTGCTTTAACGGTTTCCGCTTATGTTGTTATCACTCCTCAGCGGGACCCACAGGCTCATCTGGTGGAATTCTTGGAAATGCAAGTTACTGTACTGCACATGTGGACCCTAAGTGGGACTACAAGAATCCCATAAGTTAGTTTATCTCCTCCCTGGCTGGGGAGCGGTGGGTGGGTGGGTGCGGAATCGATAGCTGGCGATCATTCAAACCGATTCCCCTCCCAATCCTACCAAATTCCACAGCATTCAAAAACCGTACGCAAAAAATTTACTGCTAATGAAGGCCTTGCGGACAGCTAGCTACCTGTGAGATTGGGAAATGGTTACCGTAAACAGCCGTGGTGCAGACCAACCTTGACTTCTGCGACTTCCGGGGCGTCCAGTAACGAAAACGCCACAGGATGATTACCTCTCTGGTGCAAAGGTAATGAATGCCGGAACGGTTGTGGGCTGTAGCTCTATGTAGGGGTGGTACTGTAAGGGGAGAATGGAGCTGATGGAGAGATTTTTTTCTCCTACATTTTAAATAAAAAGGGAAATCTCCTGGATTGGGTGGGGAGTTTTTTTCTTTTAAGTTAGCTGGGGGGCCGACTCAGGGTCATAAGTTGAAAGTATTAACATTTCCAATTATGATTATGATTCAGTGGGGCCGACATTTATCGCTGATATATTATTCTCGGGGTTGATGTTTCTTTTGTTAAAGGGGTTTTCAGACCACACTTTAGGGCGAATGCCGTGGATCTTCCGGTCCCGTAGTCGCAAGTATTGTAGTGTACAGTGGTGTAGTTGGTATTGTTGTTACGTATGCGGTAAATCCAAAGATAAGGTTGGAAAAAGAGAGTACTCGTATAGTAACCGTGCCAAGGTTAGTCTGTGGAATTACCCGTAATGATAAGAATTGAGATTTGCCAAGCCTACCTGAAGCATGGTATGGTGCGAGGTGTCTACAGCGTGTATCATACCAACGGCGTTTCCAAAATGTAACGCTTTATCTCACAAGGGTATAGGGTACTGATCATATAAGAAAATATTTTACATGATATCATACATGTTCAACTTCAAGTGTTATTATATTTATCTTACACAAAATCAATATGTTCTGTTTGATAAAAAAAAGAATTTTTTTGAAGAATATTATTCTAATCTACTTACAATCAAAAACAAAGACATTAGAAAGTGATTACCTGGTTCTGGCGATTTAAATAACTCTGGTCTGATATTTTTTATAACTCAGAGGTAATAATTATGATATGATATTATTAGAAGAACAAAATTACGGAAAATACAAAATTGCAGTATGAGTTGAACCTCTGGCCTCTCCCTGAAAATTTTGGATATCTCAAAACCCTATACCCTCACTATATTAAGCGTTACATTTTGGAAACGCCGTTGGTACTGTACACGCTTTACTCGTGCCAAGGTTGCAGCGCTAGGGCGCTGCAACCCCCGAAACTTCGCTGGCTCAGCTTTCGGGGGCACTCATCCTGAGTGCCTGACAGCTCAATGAAAGATTGCAGCTCAAT